ATTAACATGCCGTACTGCTTCACCCAAACAGTGTTTTTGTGGGTGAGAAAGTCCTGCAAATCTGCACAAACGCCCAGCACATAATTCACGCTCCTCAAATTCCCCCACAAACATGCACAGAAGCATGCACCACTGCTGCAAGATGGGCAGACATATAGGAAGTTTGTATCTATGCGTACGAGTGTGAATTTTGAGGTCAAAAGTGTAAGAATGATGGTTTGGAGTAGTCAAGTTGGGTGAGAATCTGATCTCACAGGGCGGAGGAGTACAGTAAGTCACTAGATTTATGTTAAAACTGCTGCTTTCTGGATGTTTAAGGCATGTCAGACTTCATTAGTTTCTAAGTACATTATTAGTCTCTTTTTTTATTACTTTTGTCTCTTTAGGTAATTTTCAGGGAAATAATCTCGCATTTAAGGATGTTATGATAGTTCTATATAGCCAGGGCTAAATGCTCTTCTTATAATATAAGAAGATAATTATATAAGGTTATATAAATGTATAAGGTTCTCAAAAAAATGTTAGTGTGTGATTTGTCATTACTGAGCTCTTGACGTTTCTGTTTAAAGTCTTGTTTAAAGCGAGTTGTATTTTAGAGCCATCAAGTCTATAGTGAGTCACCGCCGCTGAAATTTGGTAAAGTCTCAAAGATTAAAAATCCCTCGGACATTTTGATAGAGATGCTAATATTGGGTGTGATTGACAAAATGAATGTTCAACCCTCATTCAGCATCCCTTCTGACCCACCACAGAAAAGTCTCTTTACTTGCTGCACATGTAAGCTCTTCAGCTGAAGCAGTCACAGCTGAGCTTCATGGGGTGTTAGTTAATTGGCAGTTTTTGGTATGTGCAGATATGCTTCACTATGCATATCTTCCTTAATGTGCCTACCACTATTTGCTTTTTTTTAAAGTGTCCTTTAATTGGCTGCACAGTCACAGTCTCCTGCTTTAACTCTCCCTTGTGGAACCTAAATGTGGCCTGTTTGACCTCGAGGCCTCGGGGTGAGAACCTTGTATTTGCAAGCTTTAACCATCTGCTACTTACAGTTTTTTTCCCTCATTTCTCCTCTTTCCCTCTGTTTCTGCTTCCAGTGTGAGTTGGTGATCTCTTTTTCATTGATGCAGCATTGGGTCACTGAAAATAAAATCCGCTCTGTTTCAACGCCTTCCCATAACCCTGAACTATTCTGGGGTTTTTTTTGTGTGTGTGTGTTACTCCATCGGCCATAGTTAGGCCATGCTGTCAACATGGTAACATGTCTGCCTCCTTAGACGCCAGAAAAGGCCCCAATGTTGGACTCTAGAGGATCAGTGCTAGATCTGACCATGCATTCTCCCTACACACCAGTCACTTTTAACTGGCTGTATCAGCAATACTCAAAGACCTGAGAGTACTCTGATCCCACCATGGGGTGTATAGCTGTGGCTCCGGCTGTGCTACACTTTAATCCCCTTTCCTTTCAACCACAATGGGAAACATGTGCTTACTCTGTGTAGGGTACAGGCCCACCATGGGAGAAGCTGTTTACCTTTGCTCCAAAACTAACATTTCATGGATCTTGTGACAATTCTTGGTCACTGCACCTTCTGGTTTAAAAGGGTCGTAGAAGGTGACACTTTTATCTGAGACTAGATGAATCTTTACCGCTGCTGCTTCTGAATAAAACTGTTTCCTCACTTCACACCTTGTAAAACTTGACACACATTTTTGTCCAAGTATGAATGGATAAAGGGAAGAGTTCAAGGCCAGGTTTGGAAAACAAAATGACATAAGGTACATTTGAATGAGCAAGGGGTGCAGCACGTTTGCTTGATTCACACTTCCCCAGTCGAAGGCCTCGGTTTCGATCTCTGTCTAACATTCTTCAAGTGCAGTGTATGATGGTTAATTAATGGCACAGCAAGTGGGAGTTCCCACTCAAACCTCCAAAAAGGGGGGTTTTGCACACCCTTAGAACTGAATATGTCTTATTTTAGAACCACCTGAACTTCATTATGCTCCCAAGTTTCCATGTGGGAAAGTAACACCAATATAACACAGATTTTTGTACTTTCTTGCTACTTGGGGAGATAAAAACTATATCCAAACACCAACCTAATCCACCATGTGGACATTTTCATTATCCTAAAGCTAAGGTCATGACCCGTGTCACCAAAGTTCGGTCCCAGTTCTGGTGATGAATGGTTTATGTGCTGCCAGAAAACTTCAACAGAAAGATTCAGAGGTGTAAAACAGAAACAAGTAACCATATGTCACGCTAGAGGGCAGGAAATAAACTCCAGATGAAGACACTACATTGGGGTTTATTTTGCTTATGTGTGTGGGTGTGCACATACTTTAATGTAAGTGAACTGTAGGACTGTCTTTTGAGTTGCACAGCACACAGCATCTCCATTTCCACCAATCGATTCTAATTGTAGGATCATAACAGGTTTTTTATTGCTCTATTGGTCTATGACTTTATCAAATATCCTAAATATCTAAAATAATGACAGCTATCATCACAAGTTATAATGTGGAACACTGCTCGTTTTCTTATTCTAAATATTACAGATAAAACCATAAGACATAATAAATTCAACTGGCAACTCAGTGGCTAAGACTGTTTTGATCAATGTCTTGCACCATATTGCAGCTGTTTAGACACTGGACCTCTTACATAGCAGATAATAGATACCCTTCACCTTCATTTGTTCTGTTATAACAAAAATAAGGCATATGGTTGTAGAGAATAATTTCTTGTGTTGTTACCTTGCCTTAGATACAGGGATAAATCAGCTTTTTTGATAAATTACTATTACTATTACTTGATTGACATGATTTGGATTGTTGAAGCTAATAAGGTTTGTGTCATATATTAAATATTTGTATCGTTTATTTTATTTTTTGGGCAACGCAACCAGAGCTTCCAGTTCAATAGCTTTTTGTGGGCATTATGCTATCTCAATTTACATTGACTCTAATCTGAGGGTTTGGTGACCAATTCTAAACTTCTGACTGGTGGCACTGTGTGATTTAGACACTGGCCTCCACAGGTGTGGCAAGTGATCTGAGGGATGAGTGAATTCTTCCTGAGTAATGGTAGCCATGATTTGCTCCCCATGTTGCCCTGCTCAAATCTTCCCCTTCCTGTTGTCTTATCTGAGCATCCAGTGCAACCTAAACCAGGGTGCGGTGCCTCTGTTCCTCCACTCCCTGTGCAGCCGGTCCCCATTGCTGGTTTTCTCAAATGTCACTGTGAAGAGAGAATGACCCAGTTGAGTTGGACTGACTGACAGAGTCCTGACACCCCATTGTAGGCACCCTGTCTCAACCTGCCACCCACAGCTTCCCACCTTCTGACCTTTGTGGCACCAAGGGCAAAACAGGCAAACGCATTCAGCTATGCAGTAGATTCATGAAGAACTTTCTTTGTTTTTATAATGGAAACTGAAAAGTATTGATTCTTCTTCCAGACTCAAAAGTAATTTAGATTTCCTTAAAACATTTTTAAAGACGTAAGTGGTAGTAGACGGAGAGTAGACTAAAAAAGTAGAGACTTAACATAGATTGTGTAGAGACAATTTATACTTCTCCAACTGTCTGGATTTGATTAAGCCAAACAGTCCACCAGCATCAAGCCAAGCATCCTCTTTAACACTGTAGCTTAAAAAAAAACTGCAAATAGTTACGAATCTGACCACTGAAGCTATCATAGAAGCAGTGTATCATAGAACCAAGCAGTCATTAAGGATATGCACACTGTGTATAATAACTTTGCCACATTGTGCTTATTTATGTGCTAACCCAAACTTCATTACTCCCTAGAATAATAAGGCTTGTTTAAAGTAAAATCATTGACCAAAGCCAAATTGACACTTACTTAAGCTTGATAAACTGTTATTTTCCTGGCTTAATTCTCTGGTGCATGGTAACTTGAATAGGATTTGAATCATTTGTGAATCATCTATCATTTGCATTCCTGCCAAATACGCTATAAACATGTTTCCGCATGTGTTCATTCCATAGCTGATCTGCCAAACAGCAGTCGAAGGCTGCTGAAAGAAGGCTTATCTCACAGCCTTCTATGAAAATATATATATTTCTTTTTAATGGAATGTGGAATCAAAGGAATCTGCGATAAATTAACTGGATATTGCATTTTTTTTAAATGATTATTTTGGCCAATGTCCGATGCTGTCAATTTTTTTTGTTCATTCACAAAGACAGGAAGTTTTGTGGGGAAAAATCTGATTAACTGAGTGCGTGTGTGTGTGGGTGTTTTTGTGTGTTTGTGTCTGAGTATAGCCACCAAACTTTGAATGTGTGTGTAGACTTGCAGACCTTAGCTCAGCTCGGAGATGTAATCTGATTTGCAGAAAGGAACGGGTCGTTTCACATGACTGGTTTAAAGGACCGCTGGCGCAAGGTTGTGCCAGTGTCCCTGACTGATTTGTGTGTGTGTGTGTGTGTGTATGGATATATGTACTTCAATACTTGTGTGTATACACCTACAAGTATTAATTTGTTTTCACAAAGTGCAACGCAGACATGTGATCATTTGCTACTATAGGCTTGCCTCCACTAGAAAAAGAGAGGTGTTGAAGTTTGCAATGTGGTCAAACACACCAGAGTTTTGCTTTTATTTCGTTGTTCTTCGGTTTAAACACGGTTTATTTGCAGAAATAAAGCCACCACTAATTAACAGTCAATTACACATCTGGAAAAAAGCAAAGCTCTGCTACAGACTCGGATGAAGGTTTTGTTTGCAGCTTTCTGTTTACACATCTCTTATAATCAGAGCTTTATTTTCAACTAATGGACCATCAGAAATTATATCAAATAATTGAAATCATCCTGTAGCCTGAGCCCTTTTTACAAGACTACTAGGATTAAAATCCCCTTAAAGCTTCCCCTATGAATCTGCTGGGTTTTTTTTTTTTTACATAAATAGAAAAAAAATGTTTATTGATGTTTTTGTGGTCGAGATTCTCAGATGTTTTTTTGTTTTTTTTGAGCTGGAAGAGGTCCATCATGTGATTTTCATTGGAGAGTGGCCGGAGGAGACGACCACAATAAAAACAAGTGAGCGTGCATGAGCGTGTGTTTGTGTGTCATCTGGCCTTGTTAATAACTGCAGGTTGTTTTCCATCTCGAGGTCGTCAACTGCGGTCATGGCATACACAAATGGAAGAGAGGAGGCCCTAGGAGGTGATATCAGTGAGTGCTCCTGGGAGTGTCGTGTAAATGCATGCACAGGTCTTGTGAGTTTCTTAGTAATTGTGCTTCTGAGAGTTTGTGAGAGTTGCAAGTGTGTGTGAAAGTGCTGTTGCTTGAAAGTGTTTTCCTGTGTGTGGAGAACTCATAAGCAGGATGATGTAGCAAGCAGGAAGCTCTGATCCCAATAGGCGTGTCAGCAGGAGTAGTTTTTCATAAGGTAGTAATCTGACCAGACAAAGGGGTGTCCAATATTAAAGAGAGCCCCTACCCCTGAGCTAATCAAGACCTGACCAACCCTTCTGCTGGCTCACCAACTCTCTAAACATTACCTCATCTGGAGGCTTAGCCTAGCCACATGCAGCTCCAGTCTGCTGGTGTACATGATAACTCACTTAGCACAGTATGATAGCTAGAAAAAAACGGAAATATAAGAAAGGATATAAAAGAAATGGGACCAGCACACAACTACCTATGGTGCCTAGTGCCAGGGAAAGGTATTTTAAAAGGCAGAGGAAAGAAAGAATCATTTTACCATGTCCTCCAGAAACTCTGGGAAGCAATTTGCCGGTATTCAGTTTCTCTCCCCACCGTCCTGTTATTGCTGTTTTCCCCTCAACTCTTGGAGCCTTCAACCTGAAAAGGAGAGTTTTTTTAGTTTAGGCTTTGTGTCACTTGGAAACAGTGCCTTTGTTGCCAAGGCAACAGTTCTGGGACAATGAAACTCAGAAGCAGAGAGCGCCTTTGTCTTGGAATGGATGAAGAGTGACCGACGCTGTCTTTGGTCCAGCCTCTTAACGTGTTTGCATGTGCTGTAGAAACCTGCAAGAGTCTTGATTCAGTATCTACCTGAACCTGTTGACCTCATAAAATAAAACCAGCACACCAAATAAATTTTAAATGTTACAATGGAAAAGCTACTTTGGCTACTTCAATTTTCCTGGGATGCCAGGTTTTGCAGAGCTTCCCTGAAACCCTAGATTTACACTAAGCAAAGATGAAACGTAGATCTCAGTTTCTAATCCGGATTTGACTTTTTTTAGTTTCTGCGAAAGTACTGCTTTCACTTATTTTTATATACAGTCATGCATATATGAGTCATTTTCTGCTTTTGTTCTTTTTCATATGGTTAACTTCTACATGTACAACATGCTCACAAATTTCAGTTATTAGAGCTAACAAATGATAGTGCCCATAGACTCTATATAAAAGAGGCTTTGGCTTACCATGTTAAATTTCTTGAGCTTAAAGTTGCTATGTTTAGGCCAGAGAGTAATTCTGAGCTATTAGTTATCAGCTAATGCTAGCAAGCTAGGATAGCAAGCTACATCTGTCAGCTGTATGGGTCCATTTCACAGACAGAGATATCAGAAGTGTACTGGGGTTTCACTCACAGGCAGTGGAGCAAAGAGCAAAACTTTGTGCACAGATTTTCCCAACTCATAGCAGGATATTATTTCTCCCATTCAGTGAATTAGCAGAGGTAAAGACTAGAAAACCGGTACTGCCTTTAGCTGCCTATGCCAGCTGCTTAACCCTGAACATGCCATTAAAAAAAAAAAAAACTTCTACATACTGCAGCTTTTTTGGCTCTAATTTGAAATATAATTTTGCATGAGTAAGTGGGACTTTCCCTAAATGAGTCAAGTCACTTATGATCTGTATGTCTGTGAGAGACCTGTTGTTTTTACAGACACTGGAGAGGAAGCAAGTTGTCTTATGTACTATTCATTTATTTTAAAAAGATAAAGTGCACATGGCCTGTAATTCTTATTGTACTGTTGTTTCCTTCTCTCTGTTTTTTCTTGTTATAATATTTAGAGGCCAAAATGGGAAACCATATAATTAATTATAGGAATATTAACATAATCCAAATCAGTTCAAGCAAGTGTACTAAATGATTTCATTTTAACACCCAACAAGACTCAGAGATTATACAACACTGCGGGTTAATCTTGTGGCATCTGTAAATCAAGGGAACATTTGGCATTACTCATTTACAGTTATCAAAGTTTCTTAATACAAGTTTGGGCAGTGTTGGTCGAGATAAAATATGGCTCCAGTTTTTTTTTCTTTTGTCTTATATGTGCACCTCTCTCTGAATCACTTTATTTCGCCATTCTTTATCTTTTTCAGATGATCACCAAGAAGGGGCTGAGTAATGGAAACATGACCTCAAGAGATTCAACAGGTAAGATTCTGTCTTTTGTTTGATCTTAAAGCCTAGGAGTACGTGATTACACACAGTGTCGTCTTATGAGGAGCAGCGACCGTTGCTATAAACAACCACAGTATGGTATGTTGACTAAATAAACAGAGGAAGAAGTGGTAGTTCACATATATGAGAGATGTGATCAGGGTGGTGCCACTGGATTCATGCCCGTGTTCTTGCTGTTTTTTTTATTGTGTAACCCAAGTCATGACAGCACAGTAAAGAATGCAGGGACACAGAGATATCACTTCAAACACAACTTCTCTCAGGAGCCTCAGATCCTTTCAGTGGAACTGAATGAAGATATGCTTTGATGGCCCACCACAGAGTCGGTGGCTTTCAAAGAAACCTGTTGATGGGATTGCACAGTGCACCCAGCCAACTGAATGAGTGGTACTGTATTTGTGCCTCTCAGGATACTCCTGGGTGTTCTCATTGGAGGTCAGATCTGCTTGACCTCAACATGAGTAGTCATTTTCTGTAGATTTTTTGGCTTGCCTTATCTTTTTTTTTTTCTTCCCTTCCATCTTGTTCTCTCACCAAATGGAGAACTGTGTATGGATGGCAGGGTGCCAGCAGACAGGTACAGTAGATGTGCTGATGAGGGATGGTGATAGGGGCAGGCCTCAGTTGCAGCCTCGGGCAGAGAGAGACATACACAGGCAGGCGTAGACTCAGAGGCAGGTTGAAACCTGGTGCTGTATGCTGATGTTTCTCTGCTTGGCTGTGCTCCAGGGTGAGGCATGTGAGAGAAACGTGGGAAGGGAAAATCCAGAATGGAGGCCAGAAGAGATGCACAAAGTCAGGTAAAGGAAATCTGTCCTCCTTTGCCTGATTTTCAAAACTAAAACCACAATGAAAAAAAGAAGGGTAGCTAAGAATGTGTAGTGGTAACAAAAAGTGAGAGCGGGAATAGGCGCATGAAGAAAGAGTACAAGAATGAGGCTATACTGTACGCTGATGGAACGTGACTACTCACAGGTAAACCAACTCAGAGGTGCAGACAAGCAGAAAGAAGATAGGAAACATTGATAGATGACTGCTTATCCTCTGACATGTTCCTTCCCCGGGCAAAGAACAAGCAGGGCAGGCCCGTCCTGCCACTTTTCTGCCATAAAACATGCAGGGTTGAGTGGGTGGTAGACAACGTCATGTCATTTTGTGGAGGGTAAAGCAAAGCCTGGGTTGTCAGGAGAGCACCTCTGTGTATTATGTCATCTTAAAAGCAGATGTTGAAGCCAGATTAGATGAGAATTCAGAAAATAATTCAGCTGTTCACGCTGCTTATTAAGCAATTTGCTTATATTTCTTATATTTCTTATATTTCTTATATTTCTTATATTATATTTGCTTATATTTGCTTATATTTCTATCTTTAAAGATATCCATCTAAAGATGGACTTATCTTTCTTTCTTTTCTTTTATGAAAAATAGTTAGCTTCATTTGCATGATTACCTGGCCTGGTACGCTGTATCCAACAAAGGCATCTGGAGTTAGCCAACACACCATAATGTGATAATGAGGCTGTGGATAATTCTTCTTCTCAGGCCCATTTCTTTTGTCAGCAGTTTTTTGAAAAGAGCCAGTTCTGTTCTGCTAAAGTAATCAGCTGCGCAGTAGTTGATCAGTTTTGATGTTTTATTAATTTAATAATTATTTGACGTAACTTTAAAAAACGTTGACTCAACATTTTAAGCAAAACATTGTTATAAAGGATCCAATACTTATCTTTTTTTTTTCTTAAGCGGCTATGAGAAATGTCTCAATATTCAAGTAAGTGGTTTTGGGCTCCAGTCAGTCATTAGTTTCTGTATTATGTTTCCAGGATCATACTAAATCCCGGTTTGGACTGTTGGACCAGCATCCTCTGAAGCAGATGTTTGCTCCTGGCAAGGCTGCCGACAACATGAGCTCCAACACTGGCAATCTAGCTCCCAGGATTCAGTGAGCAGCGTGAGCTTGGAGAAGCTATGACATAAACGCAGCAGGACGGTGAATCGCGTTTTGCTGCTCAGACATCATGGAACAGATCAGTCAGCCCCATCTGGAGAAATGCTCTATAGAAGAGTCATATATTTACCATAGTTACTTTGATGGATACAGCATGTTGTTTGACTTTATTTTTCTAATTGATTTTAATAGAAATGATAATTTCCCGGCATCTATGTATCTTCTCTTGTTTTGCAGATTTTATTTACAGTGTCGCTCATTCAGTAACTTCAGCATTTACTGTGTAATTTTTGTCATTTTTGGTAATGTGACTGTTTTCAAAGTGGCTCTTCTAAAACTGCATAAGAACATTTATCCAGGGAGGAGCACAAAAGATGTCTCCTACTGTGTAAAAAGACTTAATGCACATGTGATTGAGATTAATCAGACGAATCACTCAGTCAGTGGATATGTGATTTTCATCTTCGACAAAGAAGCCATTGTCATTAATGTAAAACCATGAATTCTCCTTCTTACGCTGCATTTTATTGTGACACATTGGCAGCTTCTGCTAATTTCAGTTAATAATCCTGTCAAGCAGTTTATTCTCATTATGATTTATGACTCCATAGCTTTTGTTGTTTTTGTTAAGCCCTGTTAGCAGAAATTAAAAGGTGTATCCAAGCTGCTGTTTGTTTGTGTTGTCATTCCAGATACATGAGATAAATGGTTGGATGTTTCAGTGGTGTTCATTGTTACGGTTATTCATGCTGGCTTCCTTACTAGTTAGGCCAGTATGTGCTAGTCTAGCATTTGAGGAATAAATAGGGTGTTATCTTTTTTTTTTTTCTTCAAAGGAAGACAAGGTAAAGGTGAACTTTACAGTAAAAATGTAATATGTTACATTTAAACTGAAACAGTGATTTTTAATAGTTTTACTGGCAATCGCAACATACTGAATGTATATTTTTGGTTGATGTTACAATGTAATGTGTAAATGCATCACTTACTATAATCACAAAAAAATTGTAGAAGTAACAGTAAAAAGATGACATCATTTTGCTGAGTTTACACTCTACAAACGTGTCACGTATGATGTTGATGGAGAAGTGCTTAATGTCACATAATAGGTCAACGTGTGTCAAAATGCAGGGAGTTTCCAACCATACTGTGGAAGAAATCCCCACAGATCCCTCGTCTTGTCCCAAAAATATTCAACATACGTCGCTAATGCATGCATTGTTTTCATTTAGTCTGAGTGACTTCAGCATTTCAGCAGTGACTTCCCATTCAGCTGTCTTTCGCTGTCATTTCAGTTACGATTCAATAAAGTCTGCGTCAGGGTGGGTGGGAGCTAAGGGCCATGTGGGGAGAGGGAATGGCACATAGGTGAAGGAGTGTATAGTTGCTAAGGGTGTAATTATTCCTCAAGGGGTTACTTATTGTTGTCCTTGCCTCAGTGATAAAACAAAGCTGACTGGGCAAGTTCCATTACAGTTTGTTCAGGCTTTTATTCTAGTGCTTGACAACTTGTCTCGGGCATCATAGGAATCATATTAAGACTCAAATTTGAGGTGGACGAGGTCATAGCCGTCTGAAAAAAAAAACGACAAGCGGGATAAAGGCCCCGGTGGTGATGTTTTGGAAGTTGAGCTTTGTGACATCTTTATGGCCCTGCTTATGTTCAACAACATTAGCATGTCCACAATGCACTTCTCTGCTTGTCTGCCTCCCCCCTTTTTTCTCTCCTCCCTTTTCTCACACACATACACATTTACACAACTCAGGGGGGAAAAATGACCTCTCGGCAGCTCTCAATTCACTGCACTTCTATAGCCTTGAATGGACCGGCTCAACAAAAGGTGACATAATTTTCTCAGGGTTTGATTGGCCCCCTCCATGCCACAAGATGACATCATGCGAGCCTCCCCCTCAAACACTCTACCACCACCTCCAGCACTATCACACAA